TAATTTAATAACATAATATATATGTCACATTATTAATTATATATTTTCGTATCAAATTAACTTCTTTTCTATCATTATCTTTATCCAATTAAATTATAACCGATTTTAAATATCAATGTTTCATATATTACAATATTAATGTCTAATGGACAGAGAAATCCTTTCTCTCCACTTCTTCAAACCAAATATAATGTGAGCCTTCTTACAAACCGGATATTGCCGACAATCATGAAAAAGATCAGGGAAAAGTCTGCATTGATGCCGGAATTAGTCACCGATATTCTCCTGCGCCTCCCGGTGAGTTCTCTCCTCCGATTCAGATGCCTTTCGAGACCAGTCTGTTCCGAAATTGATAGTGAAAAGTTCGTCAAGAATCATCTCAACAGCTCAATCAAGAGGAGAACCCGCCTAAAGCTAATCTTCTTTGACTCAGTACTCAAGGGTCCCAGCGATTTGTACTATGCTGAGTTTGATGATGACCTTGTTTATGCCTTGGTACTCAACAAACCATTGATATCTCCTCATCAGGCCTCATTTGTCTATGGTTCTTGCAATGGTTTGATTCTGTTGGGTTGGGATCTTGCCTTATGGAATCCATTTACCATGCGGTATAAGAAACTACCGCTTTGTCCAGTCCAAACCCTTCCCGGGTATAAAGGATTCATGTGTTGTGGTTTAGGGTATGATTCTGCACACGATGACTATATGATTGTGCTGATTTCAGAGGTTCATGACTCCGATCGCGTGTTTTATCAAGTCTGGATTTTTGGGTTGAAATCAGATTTTTGGAGGAGGAGCCAAGATTTGAAAGATGATGTTAACACACAGGTGGGGCATTTTGCAAATGGTGCTCTGTACTGGGCATGTAAAAGAAAAAATAAGTGCGTTGGTTTTGATCTAGCCAAGGAGGTGTTCTTTGACATCCCGCTACTGTCTGATTGTGGCCCAGCATCTATCTTTTGGGATTCCTTGGTGGTTTTCGGAGGTAACGTTTATTGTCCTACATTGCATGATGGAACTGTAGAATATTACTTGCTTGTGAGTGAAGATAAGGGTGGAGATGTTGTAGAAGCTAGTTGGCGGAAAGAGTTCACTATGGAGAATGTGAAGACTATTATGGATGATGTTTTTCCGCCTTGGCCTTTGGCTTATTCAAAAGATAGGAATAGCATTCTGCTTGGGGAAGTAGGTGGGGTTTTTTGGCATAATCTTGAAAACGGAAGAAAACAAAGGGTGAATATTGCTGGGCAGCCTGAGGTTCGCGGGTTCAGATACAATGTTTGTTGGGAAAGTCTTGTCTCTGTTGGCAAGGATAGTGCATTTGATGGAGCAGCTGAGGGAGTGTGAATAGACGATTTGGAGTAGAATAATTTGAAGCTGCCTTCTTTTAGAGGGTCAAGTTTGTAAAGGCTAATAACTGTTGTGATATGCAAACTAGTGGTGAATGGATATGTCACTGAGGATGATTATATTTCAATGAAATTCCATGTCAATTCAATTTCTGTTTTAGCCCTTCTCCTTATAAAATCCCCGTTTAGTATCTTTTGTGGAATTTTGCATGGTTTGAAATGGGACATTGGAAATTCCTTTTATTTATTTGGGAACTCTGCTTTAGACGTGTATCATGTAAACTACTTTTCTGCA